AAAAACGTAAATCATTTCTTTTCTTCTTGAAATCCCTCTAACAATGCACTTTAGATTAATAACGGTAGAAGGCTGTAAAAATCTCGTGTGACATTGCAATTAATTATTGCATCTTAGACAAAGGGCACTACGCTCTTTTTTCGAGATATAAATAGAGGAGAGTCTCGCGGAAGCGCAGAGTGTCAGTACAAAAAAAAAACCGGTACACTTTCCCCTCAGTACAGTTCACGTCAGTGAAAAATCATGTAAGTTCGCGTCAGTAAACCCGTTCACGCCAGTTCGTATTCGAGTGCATCGAATCCGATTCGCGCCAGTAACTCAATTCATGCCAGTTTTAATCTGTACTGAGTGCATTATTATTGAGATCAGTCAATCAATGCCCACTGTGACCTCCTGGCGCTCTTGTGTAGACAGCGGGCTTCCTCATCATCTTCGAGCAATATCCACCCAAAGTTTTGTAAACTAAGCAGCTAAACAGTAAATCGGTCTGTCATTCCATCCACTCATCTACACATCTCCCCGTAAATACACACATAAATACACACACGCGCGCCCGCCCGTACATAAAAAGAAACACAGAATTGTCTCCTTATGTCAGAAGAAATAGGCGGAGCCGCCACCTAGCCAAAACGTGCCGCCACAACTGACCGACGACAATTATTTAGAGATCTCGTACTCGTTAATCAGCGAGCAATCACAATCAATAGACCTGATCTCTCCCTCTGATTGACCCCGCTATCTAGGAGATTCATTCTTAACTATTCCCCTCCTCTTCTTGAAGAGTTTATTCCCTCTCCCTCCTCCTTTAGATCAACTTCTAACTCCATCATATCTAGCAAATTCATATCGTGCCGATTAGGACTAGGATCTCTTTAAGTTTTAGTTCTCTTCCTCCAATGAAGGAGATAGACTGGTGACTGTCTATGTTCCTGGAAATCCCACTTCTTACACCGTCCTATATGAGCACCTCATCCCAATGTGCTCCTGCACCACCTTCGTCGCCTCCAATTCTCAATAACCCTATTTTCTCTTCTCCTATTCACTCCCATACATATGCACACATATAATCACAATTTTTTCTAATTTAATCCAGGTTCGTACTTACGTAAATCGCGACACACACACACACACACACACACACACACACACACACACACACACACACACACACACACCTCCACTACTTCATTAGCTTTTCATAAACCACTGTAATCGATTTATTTATTTTTTCTATATAAACAAACTTGATTGTAAACAAACTTAATAATGATGTCTTTATATACACATATATATATATATACAGAGTGCGTCACTAAATCCAGATAAATCGAACAATTTCTTTAAACAAAATGTTTTTAAAAATTAAATATTACAAAAAATCCTTTTACATGGCACTTGGAGATTCCCTGTAGAGCACAATTATTCGATATATCCCCTATATATTAACTTGAATGACGGCCTCTATTCTTGATCTGAAGCGTTTGCATGCTGTAATGTAACGCTATCCATGCTGACGAATGCTGCCTCAATAGCGGTCCTTAATGATGTCACATTGGGATGTCGAGATTTATTTATGATCCTTGCATCTACGCTCCATATGTAGTCCAAGGGATTCAAATCTGGGCTATTGGGAGGCCAGAATGGGAGCCGAAGCGAACAACTCGACTTATCCTGGCAATCTCAGAAAGCATCTGTCGTATCTTTAATGTGTATCGATTTGTATCGAAAGTCCTCCTCGGTAATTTGACGCATTTGTTAGCTTGCTTACACTAATAATCGATGCTAATTTTCGCAATGATTACCTTAGGTCATCCGAAATCAGCGCTTGAGTCCTTTCAACGACTGCGAGATCCTCGCGGTGCGTTCTTTCGAATGATTCTTCCTCGCTGGCATACTGGAACTTTCGTTGGACTGTTCTAAAGCCGTATGTTTTGCTATAATGTCATAAACGGTTGATCTCGGATATCCAAAAAACCAAATTATTTCCGTTGTTAAGCGCTCAACGTCTTCGATCACGGCTCTTCGATTACACTTAGCACTTAGTTTTAATTATCACCATTTTGAGAATATGACTGTTCACTAGAAGTATCAGACTTTCTCGGACGCCAATAACAACCTTTGACGGAAACACAAGCGAAAAATTTAAATTGTGAAATTTGTCCAGATTTTGATGATGTACCCTGTATATATAAGTTCTATGTGAACCTTAATAATAATATTTTCCTTCAATAAATGTAAGTTTTATATTATAAAAATTAGATTTATATTATAAAAATTACCAGCTTCCATTTATTTTAAATCATCACTCGCATTCCTAGCCCTCTAATAATACCTGAGATCGCACGAGGTCCAGTGCCGGGTCAAAAAGATTAAGACTTTGACTCAAAAAGTAGGACCGACGTTCGCACTGTCCATAAAGAGTCATAGCATTTTTTTGGAAAGTTAACCCAGGTTATTCCAAGACGAAAAGTTGCGTGCGACTCACAGCTGTTCGCCTCTGTGCGAATACTTGTGAGATTGAATTTAATCGTCCTTCCACACCTTTTCCATTCTCCTTCACTGTCTCCTTGATCAAATTCTCAAGTTTGAATGTAACATATACATTCTAAAATACTTTCATTAGGCTTCCATACAGCTCATTATTTTTTTAGTTAAAATCGGGTTGGCTCTTATTGCGATGATTTGTTCAATAGAATGAACTCATTTTGTTTCCTTCCGTTAATTGTGTTATTCCGTTAATTGTGTTACTATTGACGTAGCAGATTATCCGCCATCAGAAATAGTTGATATGATTGGTATTTTTTATGCCGCTAATAATAATGCTAGAAAAGTAGCTCGTCAGTATTGAGATAGGTATCCGGATAGACGACATCCTGATCATAAAGCAATTTTGGGTTTAACAACTAGACCGCGTACGGGATTGATGAAACGCAAACGTTTTAAAAAAACCACTAAATAGTGACGATGCTATTATCGTAACCATACTAGGAATGATAATGATGAATTCGCACATTAGTCAAATTAGTCGTGAATTAAATATGTTTCCTGCAACTGTATGTAGAATTGTACATGTTAATCACATTCATCTTTATCATATTACACTTAATCAGGAACTTTCTAATAATGATAAAATTCTTCGTCACATTCTGCAGGTGGGGGTGTAGAGAAAATTTAGTTCAATCTCACATTTTTTTCTCGCGTCATATTTAGTGACAAGTCTGCATTTGAGAGCAATACTGAATCGGCATAATAATCATTATTATTCTGATACCAATCCACACTGGATTTGTCATGTAAACAATTAGCATCGATGGAAGATGATAATTTGTAGTATTTTAGATTATCATATTGGATCCCACTTTTTTATGGCAATGTTACAGAGAATCATACTCACGTATGATACGAGAAGTGTTGCCAAGGATGTTAGAGTTTGCTGATGAAAATATAGTTCAACGTATGTGATTGCAACAGAACGATGCACCACTACATTACACACGCCCTGTAAGGGATTTTTTTAAATTTAACTTATCAGCGTCATTAGAAGAGGTGTCATATAGCATGGTCTCCCAGATCACCAAATCCAATATCATCAAATTTTTCTTATGGGGCTATTTGAAAAACATTGTTTACCAGACCGCATCTACCACAGCTGAAGATCTAAAGTACATCAGAAGGACATGTAGAGATATACCAGCCAATCAGACAAACAGTCGATACATTCGAAAAACGGTTGCAACTATGTATCCAACAGAATGGTAGTACATTTGAGTATTTGCTGTAGACCAAACATAAACACTCTATTACTGACTTCGATGTGTGTTATGGAATTAATCGATCTTATCTTTATCGGCCGGATCCACCTCGGGTCTTGTCTTCATCAGTCGGATTCATCTCGGATCTTGCCTTCATCGGTCGGATCCATTTCGGATTTTGCCTTCATCGGCCGGATCCACCTCGGGTCTTGTCTTCACCGACCGGATCCATCTTAGTCTCATCTCCTTTCCATGTCTCTTGAACATTATACAGGGGAAACAGTACCTCTGTTCGATAGTATATGGCATCAGCACCTATTCATCATATCTATCCGTCTTTTCGAGCTGGAGGGAACGCAGCTGGCCGGTGTATACCATCGGATTTTTAAAGGAAGAGCCACGGCAATCCACCTCTTCCAGAAGACGCGTCTCCACAGCGGGTCTTCCTTCAGTTAGATGACAGCATAAGGAGGACCATTCTTGATGTCTATGGAATTGGTCCCACCGGATCCGCCTCTCAGCCGCACTACCCGTTTTCTACCTTCAAATTTTTCTAATATGGGAGGAGGAAGGCAGACCTTCCTTTGGCCATAGGAATAATGATCCGATTTCAGATCCTCGCATCCAAGTAGCCCTATCCGTGTCCCTGCCTCCGGTTTTGCGGACATACTTAGGATAAATCCGCGGAGGGAAGCAGATCCCCTTTTGCCGCCATGGTGGCCTCCTGTGTTCCTATCTCCTGTGTTCCATTTCGAGAGCCATGGAAAGATAGATCCATGTTTTGTGTGGCGCCAGGGAAAGGCCTTTTGTCTTTTGCCACATTCTACGCTACCGCGCCATAGAAGACTACTTCTATCAAAAAAAGTTTGAGGTCCAAAAAATGGGTGAAAAAACAAGTCTTTTTGCCATCACTCTTTAAATTAAATATGTATTTCGCTGAAGAATCACCAAATATGGCTGGAACAAAGTTTACAACAGCAAATCAAATGTAACGTTCTTATAAATTTACTTAAACTCTTTAGATATCTGTGCGCAAACACCACGCTGTGCCCTAATCTTTTGTTAATCTTTTATTTTTAGATTTTTGCTAAAAATAAGTTACAGGCTTTTTAAGTGCAGTATATTGGTATTTAAACAAAATTACGCTTCAAAAAATTTTTGAAAAATTTTGAAGCGTAACTTTGATAAAATACCAATATACTGCATTTAAAAAAATGACGTTTTATATAAAACCGAAAATAATAACAATTTTTAATAGTTCACGTAATTACAATTTTATTTCAACTTTTTATTATATCATTTTGTCTATAGAATAGGATTTCTTAAAAGTAATTAATGCTATTACAAGTTATTATGTATTAGGTAAATTCGATTTTTGTTATTTTAAGATATATGTCTTTAGGATGTTGAATAAGTACTGTGGAAATATATTTTAATTTTCTTGGGGTTTTTTCACAAACATCGAATTTATAATTTCGTAAAAAAGTAATGAGTCCCATTTTTAATTGTAATAGGCCAAATCGTTCACCTGTAAAATGTTATTAATAATAATAATAAAGTGATAATAATAATAAAATATTGATGATAATAATAAAAACTGTTATTAACGTAACAAAAATAGAATTATTATCACTGTAACAAATAAATATTCTGAAAAAAGATCTCGCTCCAATCATCTTGATCTTGACATATATATTACCTTGATCAAAAAGTTCCCGGAATTCATTCAGAAAATTCAAAATACAAGTTTTATTCATCAAAAGTGATATTGTCCCCTCATCAAAGTACTCCTCATCGACTGCAATGCACTTATGTCAGAGCTTGATCCAACTCTCGAAACATTTCTAGAACTCTATTGTCGGTATAGCCATCAGAGCCGTCTTCGATTTTTCCATTACCTCCTTTCCGTTGTTAAAACGCGTTCCCCGTAATGGTTTTTTGACTCGATCGAAAACAGAAAAAAATCACCATATCAGGTAAATTTGGTGGTTGTTGAATGGTATTCGTTTCGTTCTTGGTCAAAAATTCACGGATAATGATGGCACTGTGCGACGGTGCGTTATTATGGTGCAAAATCCACGAGTTGTTTGCCCACAAATTCAAAATCAAAAATACATGCAGAGGTAGATGTACTCAAGACGGCGTAACTTTTACAAATGTCAAGCTATGGTGATAAAATTTGGTGGGAATGTCAATGATAGATGTGGCAACCTAACCAAAAAAACAGAACTCAAATCAGCTGACTCAGAGCATCACCTGGTGGTAATTCCAGAAACTTTTTGATCAAGGTGGTATATGTTATCAAGGTCATGACCTTGAGCAACATTCAAAAAGTTTTATACTATCGCTCAGTATTTATTAAAAATTTATACACATTCATGATATATACATTTTCGACTGTCGATTTTTGTAGTGCAATTCGTATAGATTACGAGCTGATATTTACTGAAAATGGCGTGACTATCGCGTAAGTCATAATGATTACCAACAGATCTATTCTGTAACTCTTAACGCAAATTTCCTTATCATTAATAACGCAGCTACGCAGCTTTTTTACCATGATGGAAGATCTGCGCAGCAGTGTTATAAAGTCAAATTTCCAAATTTTTTTGTATCTATTTTTTCCTGACATGCAAACATGTCAGGAAAACATTTTCCTGGCCTCAAACAGCACTGCGATTCGTTTGATTAGTTCCTTATTTAAATTTGTAATTTTAGCAATTTGTTCAATTTCGGAAAAAATCTAGCTGTTTCCGTCATTTAAATTGACAATCCCGAATCCTGTTTAACAACAACGAGTATTCTGAACTTTTTCTAAAAATCTTCTTGGATCTTTTTTTTGGGCTTTTTCGTTGTTTCTTAAAAACGGAACCGTACCGATCACGTACCGATTTTTAAAATCATTTTTTAAAAGATAAATTGTATGAAGATTAGACATGCCAAAATTGTATATAGATTTATTTATATCCTTAATCAGTAATTTGTTTATTGTATTCATTTTAAGATTTCGCACTGTATAATGGACAAGTTGCACAAGATATCTCGTTTGAAAGAGCTGTACAGCAAACTTTGTCATCAATCATTGTAAATAATATTTCATAAGTAATAGTTATATTTTGATATTGCCTCGGAACCAAATTTTTTAATTCGTCTTTCATTCTTTGGTCTCATTTTTCGAAATCTCTTTATTTTCTTGTCAAATTTAATCGAACGATAATATCGAATCGAAGAAGTTTCATTAGTCTACAAAACTCCATTAGTACACAAAACTTGATTATTCAAATCGGCATGAAACTCGTCATACGAATATAGTTGTCCGATTTTGGATTTTCGTATTTCTGTTTATACATACTTTGATTCAATGTTCCATCAAAACTCCATTTACAAGTCATTTTTCATGTGTATATAAGCTTAATTTAAATTAAGAAATTTGAATACGAAAATCCGAAATCGCACAATTATATTCTTATGACGAGTTTCGTATCAATTAGTAAGCGATAATGGAAATTTGTGGATAAATGAAACTCCTTCTTCGACTCGATATTGTAATTTTTTAAATGAATACATTGTAAAGTTGCTTAAGGGGATGTTGAAATGGCCAAATTATCGGGATTTCGCAGATCGATATAAATCTCCGAATTTATGAACGCGCAGAATCAAAAATTCATTTACAAGATTAAAGTAGACGCAAAATTTGGAAGTGCTGCAATAGATTTTATAATATTTAAAATCGAAAAAAAGTTAAAAACTTACATTTTTTCAACTCGTAAAGCTGTCACCTGGCATAGATGTTTCCTTAATACAAAAATTTTATAGCTCGTAGGGATTACACGATAATGCATCATTCAGCGCATGACGTGTACAAACAATACTGAGATTAAAACTAAGATTAAAAGCTTTAAAAAAAAAAGATTTATATCGATCTGCGAATGACATGTATATGAACGCTGAGCGACGACTCGGAATGGTAAACAAATTGTATCTAGCAGTAGGCATTCGACCTTCTAAGAGATGATGTTGCAATATGTTAGATAAAGACAGATGATGCGTTTGAGCGAAACACAACGATTAGTATAATAATATTAAGTATAATAAGTATAAGAAATGAAAGATGTTACTACTATCAAATTTGGAATAGTTTTATCGGTAATACAAACTCCAGGGATACTTTCCTTAATAACACTTAAAAAAAATTATTCAATTCTATCAATAATTGTCTGAGAAAAATCACCTACTTTTTCAGCCTTCCAAGATGGTGTACTCCCTTAAATATAACTCGATAAGTTCCGATGATTGGAAACACTAATTTTCAATTTATTCGTTTTATTATCTTAATAAACTACCTCTATATGATCTTGATCTAGTATTGCTATCATATCTTTCATGATTTTTTTACCTTTTTGTCGTTTTGAAATGACTTTTTTGTGAAAATGAACTGTCAAGCATGTAAGAGCAAATTATTGTTATGTATAACATGCTCTTTTGATACACATAATTGTAATATGCATAACAGACATTAAATGGTATATAATCTTAAATATATAATCTTAAATATATAATCTTAAATGGAAACAAATCATACCTTTCTTGTAAAAAACTGTGTATACTATTTTTAAACAAATAGAAAAATATTTATTTTAGCAAAGAATATTGTTTTATTTATTTTTATATGCATTTATTAGATTAAAATAAAGTTTTCTTTGAGAAAAGTGATTTAATTTTACTGTATCAAATTAATTTAAAAGAAATAATAACTAATGGTTATTTTACAATATGCTTTTTGTTTCCTGTTTCTTGTTTTTTTTTTTACTATTTTTTACACCTTGTCTTTTTGTTTCTTATTCGGTTTTTTGTTTTTTGTTTTCGGTTTATGTTGCCCGAAATAAAAGTTAATGAACTTCGAAAGAAATATATAACAAGAAATACAATTGTCGATAAAATGCGTAGGAGAAAAAAGCAAAAAGTAAAAAACAAGAAACAGGAAACAAAGAACATATTGTAGAATTAAAGGATTAGAGAAACATGTAAATGTAATTATTGCAATCAACAATAATTAAAAACTCAGAAATTACCGGCAATAGATAAAACTTTTATGGAAATATTAGTTGCTTTCCATTTACATCGATTCTCAGATATCGATTCTTACTTGTGACATCATAATTCAATTGAATGCACGTTTCTTTTACCTTCTGACAAGTAATTGAACTGAGTTTTTACCTATAATCTGCAATTTTTATCTACAATCGACAAGATCAAGTGTAGTGAGTCATAAACACTTTAAAAATGAGGTTATGAACTTGTATTGCCATGTGATAACTTTTTACCAAAGTAAGCAAGTCATTTGTGAAATACTCAGTCTCAGGCTCAATTTCTCTTGTATCTAAATGGAAAGCAACTATTGAAATTTCTATATATGTTTCAAGATCAAGGTAATATATTCGCTGATTGGAGTTTTAATATATTTATCTAACAATAATAACATCTTCAATTCTATCAATCGTTATTAACTTACAATGTATTGTTAAACTGAAATTATTGCTTTTTATTACGTACCAATGCAACTTCTTGGGCCAAATCCGAAAGGCATGTAATGCATTGATCGTCTGAATCGAGCTACTTCATCGAATCTCTCAGGATCATAAATTTCAGGTTTGGGATATATATCTGGATCGAAATGAATACTATAGACAGGTATATGGATTACTTGACCTTTTGGGATAGTTAGTTGAGAATTTCTAAAAGTATAATCTGATGAGGCCTGTCTCGTGATTATGTCAATTACTGGATATTTTCGCATCGTTTCTGTTAATAATCATTTCAATAATCATTATAAAAATTAAACGCATCTTAAAGCGAATTCGATTTATAATAGTAAGATTGACTTTAAAATGCAGCAGTTTACAAGATATTAATTGTTTACGATTTTCCGTGTACTTTATGTATCGCGTTCATAAACGTATCTATCTACAAGAACTCTGGGTGGTCTCGCGCGTAAGATGCGAGATCAGAATGTTGAAGATCCTATGAACGAAATCCTGCTTTTCCTTTCTTTTTTTCTGAAATAAGTGAAATTATTAATAAACATTAGATCAAATATTTTTATACATGTATTGAAATTATATATATATATATATACTTCTAAAAGTTTTAATTCAATAATTGTAAAGGAAAAATGATTTGATATGATATCGATTCGATGGAAAACTAGCACTTTATATGTAAATGAAATCTGTTTTCCTTTAAAAAAATCCGAGAAGAAATTATACTTTTGTAATGATGTCATGTTATCGATCACTGTTTTGTTTTAAATGTTTTTTTATAACTATTAGCCTAATTCTACAATGTGCTTTTTGTTTTCTATTTCTTGCTGTTTGTCTCTTGTCTTATTAACCAAAAAAATAAAACAGCAAGAAATAGGAACAAAGAGCATATTGTAGAATTAGCCTTAAGCTCTAATTCTACGAGTACAATGTGCTTTCGTTTCCTGTTTCTTACTTTTTGCTATTGTATCTTTTTACTTCTTATCCCGTTTTTCGTTTTCTGTTATTCGATAAACGTTAATGAACTTCTGAAGAAACAGAAAACACACATCAAGAAATATAATCGTTGATAAAATGATCATAAAGAAGAAAAAGATAAAAAACAAAAAACAGGAAACAGAAGAAACAGAAAACACACATCAAGAAATATAATCGTTGATAAAATGATCATAAAGAAGAAAAAGGTAAAAAACAAAAAACAGGAAACAAAGAGCACATTGTAGAACAATCATTAAGCTTATTCTACAATGTGCTTTTTGTTTTCTGTTTTTTATTTTTTGCTATTTTAATATGATGATTTTGTCCCTTAATTTCTTATCCGCTTTTTTGTTTTATGTCCGAGAAAAGTTAACGAACTTCGGAAGAAATAGGAAACACGTAGCAAGAAATACAATTGTCGATAAAATGGTTGCAAAGGGAGAAAAAAGCAAGAAACAGAAAACAAAGAGTACATTGCAGAATAGACTTTATCATCCGAATGTATGAAAATTTTGATAACAATTTGATGAACAAAATGAGATGATTAATTTAATTATGAGAATGATGCCAATACATTTGGAAATAACTTCCGTTGCACGGATTAGCTCGCCGGGGTGCAAGACGGGAAACGGAACAGATTCGAATCGGAGAAAGAATACTCGTACAATCCCAGTAAACGAGAATGGATTAAAATGGATTGAAATTTTTTTTTATCCGAATGCGTATTTTAAATAGCGAATACTTTTTTTTGGATCTAATTGGATTCAATTGGATTCAATTAGATTCAATCCAATTGGATACAATTGGATTGAAAAACTGTATTTTCTATTCAAAATTTTGAATTGAACAGTATTCACAATGCACACATAAAGCTAATATAATTTTTAGATTGAAAGGCATAATAAAGATATGCTCCAAGATATGCAATTCCTATAAATGAATAAAAATGCATTTAGGATTGAAAAGCATTCATTTTAACATTCGTGAATCAATATTTCTGAAAATCTGAATCTATTTCAATTCATTTCAATCCATTCTCGTTTGCGGAGGTATTAAGTGAAATGACAATTTATTATATCAAAGAAATGACAATACAAAATAAAATAAGTTCGGATGGTAATATAATACAAGATGAAAGGGCTTTGTAGTCAAAGTCTCGCTACAGCGTTTGACTAATTAGAAGAAAGAATTTTACAAACTGATCAATTAAAAAACGTTTTAAAGCATTTGCAACATCGCGTTGATATACCCAATATGATACAATGAGAGCGTTCAAATTGACAAAGCGACTCACTGAGCAAATGAATATAATTGGTTGTTACTTACAGATCAATCTAACCATATTCAATTGTTCGGTAAGCATATCTAACCGCTTTGCCGTCTTGAACTCGCCCTATAATACCGACTAGAGTGAGTGTTTCTGCGAGGCGCGAAATATAGTAAGCGTGCGATATCGTTGCGAGGTCTGCAGACTAATGGCTCCGGCACACCAGCGCGATGTTCGTCGCGCGCGACACGCGATCCAATGAGTGAACAGTTTTACCGATGTTTTCATTCCAAAGTTATATTCTCATTGAGTATCGCGGCGCGAAAAGAAAAGTCCGACGCGAATGTGAGTAATACCACATATACCAGTACACGCTGGTATGTCACGCGACACAGTGCGTGAGTATAAATCGTGGTGAACGCGACGAACGTGTCTAATAGCGTTTTTCATTGGGATACATTGAGTGTACACTAGAAACTTGTCGAGTGAGATGGACACTGCCCAAATTTATGGACAGTGCAAGTTTTTTGCACGCCCAATGAAACACTCGCGATTTGATGAATGCGTTTAGTGGCGTGCCATTTTTAATTTCTCAAACGTTGACATTTTTCGATTGCAGATTACAGAAATTAATCATTTAGAAGTTATAGAAATGCCTCCGATTCAATTTAAAGTAAATAATTTTGGAAGTCCCTTCAAAAAAAGTGACAAAGAAGATTTTTATCATAAATTATTGAGTAAGCGTATATGTATTCCGTCAAATCGTATAATCTATAATCTACTTATAATGACTATAAAGAAAATTTGTTATGAGCTTATTAAAAAAAATCTTCACTATACGAATAATATACTACTAAATTTTTTATTACACATTTTTATTACACATTTACACATTTTTATTTGTGTGAATTAATATTTTCTTATTATGTTTTCATACGAAATTTTCGTTTATAAATAAGTATACGTAGAGCATATTTCGCATACAAATTTGTCTGATTTTTAAAAATTCAATTGATTATCAGACTGAAACTATTGATTATTAGACGTCTGAATTTTCCTAGACATATCCATTCATATATTTATGAATATCATGAAAACCACAACGTTTCTGATAATCCTAGCTATAGATTTCCAAGGACATGGGAAAATAATACAAATTGATTATGATCTCTAGATATCTCTTTGGTGAAAACGAACAGGTATTCAGTAAAGCAGCAAAAAATACTTTTTTGTATTGTTATTGTTTTTGTAAGTAATTGCACAAGTAAAAGGTACCTTAATTTATTATTGAATACTCTATTTTTTTACTAATAATGGCTATTGACAATTAAGTTTTTATAATAATTTGTTTAATAAAATATGTTGAAATAATATGTTCTTTACGTTTTATATTTTTATTTATTTACATTTTCCTGATGACATATCAGAAATATTAATGTATTAAGATTGTTGAAATATGAAAT